AAATATACCGAAACTGTTATGTAAGAAAAATTGACAAAAGCATTCCTTAAGTGCTGGGAACAGAAACAGTATTAAGAAGACTCCCTGGGTGAAAGAGGGAAAGGAGAAAAATCACAGTCAGACTTGTAAGATTCTGTTATTATACACTATCAATAAAATATTATTTTAGTCTTCCTGTGAATTTCATTTTCAGATCTGCTCTACCTTGCAGGGTTTTCAAGGGCATTGGGTCTCCAAATTCCTTAAACTGATCCTGGTCACAACTAAATTAATTCAGTTTGGGAATTAGCAGTCTATCTTCCTCTGTGGCCTGAATATAGATGCTTTGTATTTATTTCAATCTGAAATAAGTGAAAGAATAACTATCTTTCCTTTATCTGTGCTGCTGAGAATAGGAAATCCTCAGGGAGGAGGGCCCAAATTAACAAATCCACCATATAAAGATTTGTCTCTAATGATAAAAGCCCATATAGAGGGAGGAGCTTCAAAGCTGTGCTTAGTGAGATGTAGTGGCAGAGCTAAAGCAGACAGGAGGATATGGAGGGAAAGAAATGTGTCTATCCATAGAATTAATATTAAAAGAAAGAGTGTATGCCCAGAATTGTTGTAAATATTTATGAGACTATCTAGCTTTATCAGAGGCCAAAAAAAAGAAGAAGAAGACAAACTGTGACATAAATGGTAAGTGTAAAATGATGATAATTGACTCTAAAAGAACAACCTAATCAAACAATCTCCTTTTCCTCACCCCTAGGCTGGAATGAAAGATAGGAGAACTTACAGCATGAATTGAAGGCAGATTCATCATTAGACTTTTAGATGTTTTATATTGTGCTTGGGAAGAATTATTTGCTCCCCAATTAAAATTGGTTCGGAATTAATTTGCAGCACAGGAGTATTGCAAAATTCTACCTTCATTTGTGTCATTTGGCCAGGGTCTTTGATAAAAGAATTTGAGAGAAAAGTGGAATTTAGGATGTCATGATGCAAAAATTGAAGAGGTATAGAATATTGGCAGGTGCTGTTTCTTCTACAGTGGTGAGAAAAGCAACACCTACTGAAATTCCAACTGCTGTGCATACAAAAAGAACAGTGATAACATTTGCCTTTATTGCCTTATTGGGATAAATTGATTGTTTTAATTCAAAGAGTGAAGAGAAAATGACTCTTACCCTTCCTCTTCCAAAAGCATTGGGAGAAATAATACCATTAGACATTAGCACTGTCATTTTAATGGAGAGTAACTAAAGTAGTGCATTCTTAAGGAACAGGTATTCTTTCCATGAAATTGACCCAATTTTCTTTGATCAAAGTTTTATTTGAATGTTTTCTTTTCTATAATGTTTTAATGTTTATAGAAAATAGTTAATGACTGTTTTAATGTTTAAAACATGAGAATGCTACTGGCTTTCAAAAATGGCAATTTATAAAGTCACTTTCAGGATTATGCAGAGTACCAAGCTAAAACATGTTCTATGTAAAGAGGTACAGCTTCAGAAAGTGGTTTTGGGCTTGCCCACTAAATAATTGGTGGCATCTTTATTATTAGAGGGGCCTCTTTTTCAAAATAAAAATTTATCTCATAAGATTTTTGCTAAATTAATATAAAACTAGTCCTATCATTGGACAAAGTGCTGCAATTTCTTTAGGGATGCATTAGCAAGATATTGGAGGAGAGAATGTTATGCCTAAAATCTGACCAGGGCTTCTAAATTAGTATAGTGCCTGCAAGAGTAATGGAGATGTTGCCCTCATGTCAATGTTAAATTATCTATTGTCAGCTGGGTTCAGTCTTGTAGAAGGAATGGAAGAGGAGACATTGTTTTCTTCTTTGTTTCCAGAGGCAAAATATGTTGGGCCAACTCTGAGTTCATGGCATTATTGGAGAAAAATTCCTTCACAATCCCAGAACTATCTATTCCAAATTTCAGCTTTAATTCTTTCCTTGAAATCAATCAAGGGTGGCCTGAAGAAATATGAGGTGGGGAGACAGAGAGTAAGGTCCAAAGACTTGCTCTAGGATATTTTCAGCAGCAACTACAACATGCCCATTTAAAAAAAAATCTATCTCAACATTAATTTTAAACAAGTGTAGATGAAGGTTTTGATCCCTTACAAGTCTCAATTTTCTGTGAGTCAGAATAAGTCCGTGCAAAATATTACTTTACTTTGAGCAGTGTCACAAACTTTGCAATTCCTTAAACCTATGGAATAATTATGTTACACAGCATAATATTTTGTTCCAGTTATTCCAATTAAATTGTTGTCATGCCACCAGACTTTTCAGAGGCTTCAGGAGAATTAATCCTACGATTTTTTCTCAAGTGAAAAAAAAATGCAATGCTTAAAAAAATGAACAGAAACCTGCAGAGAGCAAGCAACAATAAGTAACAGTTTGTCAATAATTCAGAACTCACATTGCTCCTCAGCTCTTACTTGCTCTGTCTGTTGTTTTGGCTAGAATGATTAGAATGGCAACCCCTTTGAAGCATGTTCCAAAGTAGTTCCACTGATTTATAATGAGATAAGCACAAGGCCGGGTCTAAGATCCTTCCAAATATATTTCATATTAAGTTAAAATCATGTGATAGAGCAGCTTTGGCTTGGTACATCATTCATTCAGAACTGGAGTAAATGTCTCTCTCCACAGATACAATCAAAATAAGACTACACTGAGATATTACGATCAGTCACAAGAATGCTTATGAATGGCTTCCGTGGCCATGAATAAGTTGCAGCCAACTCAGATGTCACCCCACAACATCTTCCTCAGAGGAAGGTAAATACCAATGTCCTTTCTTAGAGAGCAAGCTATTGTGCTCTGGCTGTGGCAGCTGCGGCTGATTCCATAATAGCAGGAAATATTTCTGAGTCAAAAGCTGCATTTTCCTTTTAAAATGGATATTTTTCCCTTTCTCCTTTGTCATTGATTGGGAAAGAATAAGCTGCAAGATTTAACATCTTGCAACTTATGTTGTACCTGTTAGGGGGGGAAATATTAATAAAGCATGTGCCATCACAGATCAACAGGAATGATCATGGGGGGTGCAAAAATTAGGGGTGGAGTCCATCCACTACTTACAAGAAATGGTTTGCCCATGTGTATCCTTCAGATGAAGTTAAGTATGGGCAATTTTCATAGAGTAACAGAACTGTAAGGTTGGAAGGGGGCATACAGATCATTTAATCCAACCTTCTGCAATGTGCAGGAATACCAATTCAGCCATTGAGAAGTGGCTGTCTAATTCCTTCTTAAAAACCTCCAGAAATGGATAACCCACAACCTTCATAGTTTGACCCAAAGGAGTTTGTTCAAGAGGCAACTGGACTTTCTTGTTTTTCTTTGAAGACATTTCACTTCTCATCCAAGAAGCTTCTTCAGAGCTGAATGAGAAGCTCTTTGGCATAGCCATGACCTGAATGACTGAGAATCTGCATAGACATTTAGCTTCATGGTTTGACTGTTCCAGATCACTGCAACTTTCACCTGTTACTTCCGCTCTTAGTTTCTGCATGAGAAACAGTTCTCGCCCATTTTCTCTGCATTTTCTTTTATGTACTTGAGCATATCTATTGTGTTTCCTTTCAGTCTTCTTTTCTCCACACTGCAATCTCATGTTTTCTGCAGTTTGCAGGTGTATTTGGACCTGAATGTAATAACACACATCAACTGAAGAGAAATGCTTTTTGATGCATTTTTCTTTTAGGCAGCAGATAGGCTATAGTAGTACCTGTTGGAATAGGGTAGTCTTGGTTTTAAGCAAAAAGAATGCATTATATTCTACCCTATTTACTAGATTTTTAAAATAAAATGTTAAACGTTTCTAATAAGAGTGCATGAAGCATAGCCTAAACATGTTAAGGCTTCCCTTGATAATATGTTTCTAACAACATTCTTCATTTCAAGAACAAACATATAAAATGTTAAAAATTCACAAGTGGCAATTATATTCTAAAATTTTGCAAAATCAAATTGATTGAAGTTTGTTTATAGTCTATTTATTTCCTCTATGTGCTTGTGGATACCTATCAGTTTTATCCTGGGTGTGAGCCCTTTGATTTTTATATATATGCTTTTTGGTCTTGATGTTTACTATGATGTATACAGGTCTGCAAAGATTTATTTCATATTGCGGAGAGAATACTTATTTATTTTGTAATATGTATATCCTAATAATGATGCAACACTGGTGATATAATCAGAAAAACGTATACAAAATAGTGATTACATGAACTAAAACTGAAGAGAAAAAATGAGCCATATAATATTAATATTGCAGTAAATGAATTCATTAACATATTATTTAAATCTAGACCATATGGAAACATGCTATTCCATCTTCTTATCTGTGCAATATAAAGACATGTTCAAAACTGACAAAAAAAATCCATTTCTTGATTCTATGGTTTAATACCAGGAGCATACTTCTTTATTTTACCTCTATAGAACAATTTTCTTTGCTGAATTCTTCATAAAATGTTAAATTCCCTCTATCTGGAGTATAATTCAGCATCACATTTACATCTTTAATTATTATATGTGTCCCTAGGTTGTTTTAACATATGTAATAAATTGCAATAAAAAGGAGTCATAAAAGAGAATGAGCAATAATAGCTATATATTTTAAGCTACTCTTAACATTTTTAGATTTACAAGAGTATGTGTCAGTCCATCTTTATGGTAGAATGTGCACCTGAATAAATAGTGGAGCTTTGGCATCACAAAGCTTTCCTAAGGATGAGGGAATACTTTCCATCAGAGAGAAGCCCAAATTAAGAGAATATGCAGTCCTAAGGGGAGGGGTGAAGAGGTTTGGGGTAGCTTCATCCTAGAATCTTTCAGGATATATCTACTAGGTTAGAAGGTTATAGCTAGTTTAGCAACCTTCTGCCGGTTAGGGGTAAGCAAATAAAGAACTGGACCCAACTGGATTTTGCTATGTCCTCTGGGCTTGGACCTGACAATGTTCTTTGTCTTACAGGCTTACTGAACTAATGCCATGGCCCAATGGAATCAAACCACAGTGTCTGAATTCATCCTTGTTGGATTCACAGATAATCCAGTGGTCCGCACCTCTCTTTTTGTGGTGTTTCTAACCATCTATGTGATCACTCTTCTCGGAAATCTAGGGATGATTGCACTGATTCGTCTTGACTCCCATCTCCAAACACCTATGTACTTTTTCCTTAGCAACCTGTCCTTCTCAGATATCTGTTACTCTACTGTCATTGTCCCTCAAACCCTGGTGAATTTCTTGGCTGAAAAGAAATCCATTTCTTTCATTGGCTGCGCTGCTCAGTTCTACTTCTATGCTGTGTTTGCAAGTGTAGAATGTCTCCTGCTAGCTGCTATGGCCTATGACCGTTATGTGGCCATCTGTAATCCACTATTGTATCCTACTGTCATGTCCAAGAAGGTTTGCATTTTCCTGGTGCTGGCTTCCTACCTTGTGGGTTGTGCCAATGGCATGGTACACACAAACACTACGTTTCGCCTTCCCTTTTGCAATTCCAATGTCATAAACCATTTTTTTTGTGATGTACCTTTAATTCTGAAGCTTGCCTGTTCAAACACTCAACTCAACCAGATTCTGCTTTTTGTGATCTCTTCACTGATAGGACTATGTTCATTCTTCACCATCCTTATCTCTTATATCTACATTATCACTGCTATCCAAAGAATCCACTCAAGCAGGGGAAGGAAGAAGACCTTCTCTACCTGTGGCTCCCATTTGATGGCTGTTACCTTGTTCTACACCACAATTCTTTTCATCTACCTGAAGCCTTCCTCAAGCGACATTGAAGCACAAGACCAAATTGCTGCTGTCTTTTATACAGTAGTGATTCCTATGGTAAATCCTGTAATCTATAGCCTAAGGAATAAAGAGGTGAAGGAAGCCCTGAAAAGGATAGTGAGGAAGAGATGGGTTTCTGGTCAGGCATAACACTTCCTCATACTGAGAATTACAAATTGCACTGGGTGACTTTCTTCCAAGAAAGCATATGCATAGAGGATTGTATATCCAAGAAATACTTATTATTTTGAAATAATAAAGTTGAGAAGGGAGGGCTGTTAACTTTTAAATATCTGCTTAACGAAAGATGATGTGGAATTATGCTTCTGGAAGATATAAAAAAGACTCTGTGTAGAACGAGAAAGTGAAAGAAGCTGAAGCTAAGGAAAACATCTATACAAGAGAACCATTGCTGCAAAAAAATAAGTAACAAAAGATACACTGGTACATAAAGAGAATAACATGGAAAAACATGAAATGAAATAAAACAGAATAATTATCATGAAGAAAGGCAGAAGTGCACTGATTTGGAAGGAGAGAGGGGAGAATGAGCTAGTGGGTTGTGAGGGAACACAAGAAGCCTCTAGGAATTCAAATTTAAAATTATGAAATGATATTGAACTGAAGGAAGGAAATACTAGAAGAGGTGTTTTAGAGTTCTATATGAGAATGATTCCCCCTACATAACTAATATGCTGCTTCATTGTGTGTGAGAGAGATGTTCCTAGGAGGGAAGAGCAGACAATTCCAGGATTTTATGCCAGGCATATATACACCCAGAAGGGTCACCCAGGAAGTGAAAGTCATCCCAGCTGCCAAGCCAAAGCAAGCAGGCACCTGTACCAGGCAATAGGGATACAAGAAGATACTGGAGGCAAATGATCCTTTAGAAATAACAGCAAATACATCATTTCATGCTGCACAGGAGAAAGCAATGGTAAAACCACTCCTGCATTTTAATAAGAAAACTACACAGATTGACAATATAAAATGACTGATAATATAATGCCAGATGATGGGCCCCCGAGTTTTTAATCATTTAAAAAGGTACAAAATTGCACCAGGGAAATTTGGCAGCATGATTTTAAGTCATTGCACGGAAAGTTTGAGTATATGGTAAGATTTGCCTACCAAAAATAATACCACTGAAAATCAATCAAATCTTAGTGAGGTGATCTCAGCATGCTAGAATGCCACAAATGAAACCCAGTTGACTGAAGGTAGTCTGCAGATTGCCCACATTGGCATAAAGCGAAAGCATTATTATTCAGATGAAAAAAAGACTTAAGAGTATGCTATTCTGCCTCCATTAAAAGACAAAATCACTAGACTGATTATCTAATGTTCCTCATCTCGCCTATCTTATGAGTCATTTCAGTTGCCTTGGTAAGCATCCATCACTGCTATAATCCCCATGTTGTAAAATAGTCAGACAGCAATGTGAATCAAAAGCCTAGTGAGAGAGTTTGCCCAAAGAGAGCCAAATACACTCCAAGAAATAATAGCATAGTCCAAATATATCCCAAGAGTCACAGAATGCCAAATTGGATAGTCAGCCGATCCAATGATCAAGAGTCATGAATAAGTTGCAAAAGCTAGGATATAGAATAGAATAGAATAGAATAGAATAGAATAGAATAGAATAGAATAGAATAGAATAGAATAGAATAGAATAGAATAGAATAGAGCTGGAAGGGACCTTGGAGGTCTTCTAGTCCAGCCCCCTGCTCAAGCAGGAGAATACCATCTCAGACAGGTGAATGTCCAGTCTCTTCTTAAAAATCTCCAGTGATGGAGTGCCCATGATTTCTGGGGTAAGCTGTTCCACTGATTGATTGTCCTCACTGTCAGGAAGTTTCTCCTTAATTCCAGGCTGTTTCTCTCTTTGATCAGTTTCCAACCATTGTTTCTCATCCTTCCCTCTGATGCTTTAGTGAACAACCTGGCCCCCTCTGCCTTGTGGTAGCCCCTCAGATACTGGAACACTGTTATCATGTCTCCCCTATTTCTTCTTTTCTTTAGACTAGCCAAACCCAAGTCCCATAGCCGTTCTTCATATGTTTTAATCTCCAGGCCTTTGATCATCTTAGTTGCTCTTCTCTGAATTTTTTCCAAACTCTCAACATCTTTTTTGTGATCAAAATCACAATGTTATCAAAATGTTATCTCCAACAAAGACTGCAAACAAAGGAGCTATTTAAATACAGTTGGCTGTATTTACATATGTCTTGCCCTATGCTTAGTGAGAAGCCTCATGGAGGAATGTTGCTCTGCTCACCTCTGGATTTGCCTAGACCTGGGTCTTAGGAGTTTTGCCTTGTCATCTGACTGCTCTTCCCGATTCCTGAGGCTGACTATCCTGAAACACAGGCTCAGCTGGAGCAACATTGTCAGATTCCAGGTCAGAGTCAGACTCTGAATCATGGATTATGACAACTGCTGAGTGTTGACTAAGTAGAGTTTGAAAGAGACCAGGTAACAAAATCTTCCTCTTCCGCTATGCTCTTTCTGTATCACAGCAACATCCACTTCTCCTCTGAAACAATTAGCATCTTCTTCTTTTTCATATGACACTAATGCCTTCTGGCACAGAAAATACCACCATGTAATTAATTCAGAGTCTTTCTGCCCTCTCTGATGCATGTCATAAAAGTTTTCAATTTATAGATAAGCAATGAACTAGCCAAGTTTCTCGATCATACTACATTATTCAAAAACTCCAAGTTGTGAAGAGCTCCAGAACGATCAATTTAAATTGAGTAAGTGGTCAATCTAATGACAAATGGGACAGAGTTTAAGTAAATGTAAACAGGTGAAAATTGAGGATCAGAAAGAGCTTTCACTCTCTTGGTAATTATTTCCTATTTCTTTGGGGTGCTAAATGCCACAATATAAACAATATTATCTTTCCAGTTAACACATCAAACACTTCTTCTGTGACATCCCTGCAGTTGTATCTCCATCCTGCTCTGTCATCACACTGAACATGAGGATGCTCTTTTTTAAAGATATGCTTTAATCCCATCTTTATTAATTTTATATAAAAAAATTATTTAAAAAATCAAGGTAATCACTGTACTTACTACTACTCTCTCCTCCTATTTCCCCCCACAACAACAACCTTGTGAGGTGAGTTGGGCTAAGCGAGAGTGACTGGCCCAAAGTCACCCAGCCAGATTTTTATGCCTACGACAAGTCTCAATATGATTTACCAGTTTCCAGCTTGGTGCCCTCACCACTAGACCAAATTGACATAGGATGTGTAGAAACAATTGGAGAGAGACAGTTCTGTAAGTAAACCAATCCTAAGCCATGAAAACTTTAAATCTTGAATTGTACTATGAAACAGATGTAGCCAATGCAGCTTGCAATGAAGAAGAAAAATAACAGCTCTCAAAAGAAACCAGCATGGCTGCATAAAGAACTCTCTGATAAATTGAAAGATAAAAAGGACAAGTATAAAAAGTGGAAAGAGGGGCATGTACCAAGTATGGCACCAGAAACTGCCCATGTGCCATATTCTGCATCAGTTGAAACTTCTGAATACTCTTCAAGGGCAGCCCCACATAGAGTAAATAGAGTAAATGCAATAGCCCACCCTGGAGGTCACAAGGACATGAATGACTGGGAGCAGGGTCCCCCAGTCCAGGAACAGGAGCAACTAACATACAACCTAAATCTATGCAAAGGATCCCCTAGCCATGGCTGCCACATAATTCATGAAGACAGAATTCAGAACCCATAAAGGTTAAAACTAATTTACAAAGCATGCCAAGTCTTAAGTTTATTTTCCTTAGGGTGACTTACTGTTTATTTGACTTAAATGCACTACTGTCATAAAGCATCTTTGATTGGTGCCAAAATAACAGTAATTCAGAAATAATTTATATCATTTTAATAATGACTTGTTATGAGGGTGTTATAAATCACTAGTGGAGGAAATCACTTTAGTGTGTTATATTACCCCACCCATTATAGCTTATGAGTTGTTATAGGAAAACAGAGTTTAAATACCCTAGATTAATTAACAAGGTTGGGGTTTTCCAAATGGTGTTCTGTGAAACAAGAACTGGATGAGTTCCTTGATAGATCTGGGTGTAGGGGGAAGTTCACTTAAACACAGCCAGGAGCATTGATAGAAATTTTTCTAAGCCTTAGGGGAGAACATTTATTTATTTTCTAGGTGGACCTTTTCTTCTTGATCAGGGAATCTAGGATTTTTTAAACTAACAGGATCTTCATCCTGAAGAACTCTGAAAGCCCATGACTTGGGCCAATATGTCATCATCGCTGTTCATGCACCAACATTTTACACAATATTCTTGTGTAGAAGGTGGATCATCAAATGACATTGCAGTGGAAATAATTTCTACCATTAAAGCTATTAATGTAATTGTAATTGCCACTAGAGATCAGTCCCATTGGGAGGTCAAAACCCCCAGGTCCAGTCCCTCAGTATATAAAATCTCTTCCAATATAGCCACTGCAGAGAAAGAGTTCAAGAATCAATCCAGGTCACCTTCATGATGCTCTCTTTCAGGCATTTCCTGAATTTATATAATCAGAAATGGCATCCTTGACAATAAATAAGCAAATGTGTCCTTCTCAACAATGTGAAACAAGAATTTCAAAGTAACTGGAGGAGGAAAAAGTACTAGCAGAGCACAAGGGAACGGGTAGGTTAAAAGCAACATTTATCTAACTATCCCAAGATTCTACCATAATGATCCCATCAGTGCCCTCTGCCATTAGATGAGATGAACTGGCAAAGAAGGGTGAAACATTTTTGTTTTCTACCTTCCTTTCTATCTCGGTTCAAAACCAAGTTTTGAAAATGCGTACTTTTTTCCCCCAGAGGCACATAGAATTGCAGCAACATAATTTGCCATTTCTCTTGATGCCTTTCTATTTTTTTCCCTACCATTTAAATTCTAGTTTAGAGTCTGAGAAATAAAATGGTATTGCCAGCAACCCCAGGTGTTCATTTTGGATGCATCAGCTACCTTCAATATTGCAAATAAAGCATTTACTAGATGCTTCCAGCTATTTTTGGCCTAGGTACATCTAAGCTGTATTTAGTGCTCCACATTGTGAAAGTGAGATTCTCATCCTTTCTGCTTTGCTTTTTACAAACATCTTCCTCGGTGTTG